GATAAGTGATCTTTAACTGCAGTGATACATGATTAAGAAGCATGCTGCTAGAATAAGTGAACTAAACATTACCTCCCTGATAAGTCCGACATTATTTTTAATCTTCATTGACCATGGTTCACATCTTATGCACACTCCAGTTGGCACCCCTGCAGTATGGGGATTTTAATTTTATTTTTAATTTGCTTCAAATTTAATTGCGAACAATTGTAAGATATTTCTTCTGGGACAACTGCAATTATTTTCAATGGCTGTTTTCAAAAAGAAATATTTAAATTAAGATGGGTTGTAGCGCCATGTAGTCTGGTAGACCACACTGCATGGCGCTACAACCTAGATGACAGCCATCTTCATACTCACAGCGATAAGAACCTCAAATCCTAATTATTTAGATGCCAACATTTTGCTACATTGCCGCAGATTATAAGTCATTATGAAGTGGATTTGCAGTTAAACCTCGTTGAAAACAACGTAAAATCCAAAATACTGCTAACGTTGTAGAAGAATCTTCCTTGTAATTGAAATTGTGATTTTATAAAGGAAGTTATAATCAAATGTAATCATTAAAACTGCAATCTACAAGTGACTTAGCTCATGAGCATGTTTCTGGTAATTTTTTAAATTATTTAAATAACTTTTCTTGTCTCTTGTTGAGGGGACTATACTTTCATAATTACATCAATCAATTCTCTTCTACTCCATAATCCTAACCTATAAACGCCTTGCGGCAACCGGGGCGCACACCCTCGTGTTATGAGGCTGCCAGTGACAAACTCCACAGTTCGGCTGCTGAAGCACATGTAAACCATGACACATGGATAATAAATGTTAATACCGAACAATTATTAAAATATGAATATTTCAAGATAAATCTCTCTATCCGTGTCAATTTAATGAAGTAGCACTTCAATTGTGCAGTACCCAAACATTAAATTCATTTGGCCCATTTAAAAATTATGAATAATCCCTGTGTATACGCCATGGAGACGAATCATGATACAGAGTAGTAAACGCCGACATGATCGGACTCTAGGGCACAAGGGATAGTTCACGCTGCCTACGAGCAAAAGTAGATTTCTCGTGGTTTCTTTATGTAAAAGTAGAATATAAAATTCTAAAGGTCTCAAATAACATATTTCAGATGATTATAAATATGTCAGTGTAAAACGTCTTAACATCTGCATTTGAGGCTTTGCTTATGTCAATTATAGGAACCAAGCCTTTAATTAATAAGAATATACTGTAATATCTCCATTCAAATATTGTGGCCCAGTTTGGCACATATTTGGGTCAAGATGGCATTAAAAAAAAAAGGTTCACTCGTGATTATTACGCTGATATTTTTCTCAGATATTACATTTCCAGGCACAGAGATCTGATGTATTGAGAAAAACAGATTATCTGAATGGGAACTTCACACAGAAATCTAGCGTCTTTAACGAGAAAAGAAAAATTGATAAGATTTTAAAAACAACTGATGTTGTTTTTCTGGGTTCTGATGCCAACATTTTTGAGAAACATACTGTCTCTGTCTTCAAGGTTGAAGATGGTTATGAGTCTACATGGTACAAGACCCCAGAATAACATTATCCTCACTGCCATGAAACCTCAAATCTTTAAGAACTCTTGTATGTTTTCGTGCCTTTGGGACTGGAAAACGTAGGCCTAGCTCAAATACATATATCACATAAAAATACAGAAGCAAAATGTAATATGTCTTCAGCTTTCTGATAATGAGGATCACTTGTTCAGGAAGTTTTATATGAAGTAAAATTCAAAAACAGACACAATGTAATTGCAATGCATACAGAGATCAGATTAGTTAATTTAAATATCCTTTTTGAGTACAGCCATGGACGGCATTAATCATTCGGATTTTGTACGCTGAAACATATTAAGTATTAAGCACGGGCAAACTTAGAGCACAACGGTAGAGGTACTTCCGACATACAAGCGACGGGCTGTTGTAACTATCTCTTGTTGCACGAAAGACGAAGGCTCGCGACAAAAATAATTTTTCAAGTGACGGCCAGTGTCCATATTTCTTTGTTCAGAGTAAATATGCACTCGCCATTACAGGGGATTACCACAATAAAGTAACAATCACAGTTATGTTGGACCTCCATTGTCTGTAAATTCTGATACATAAAAATAATGTTTTGCATGTTGGCTCTACTCCCTTCCCTGACAGATGCCATTTGAGTTGCTTATTTCAGAGCTTAGCTGCCACCCTTTAAACACACTAAACACAAAACAAGTCAATCTGATAGGAGCAGAACCATCTCCCATTATGTCCGACATTATTTTTATGTCAGGAATTGATAAGTATCAAAAAGATTTTACAGACTAATTTTATGTTTTATGCATACCTGGTAAAAGATTTACATACTAATTTTATGTTTTATGCATACCTGGCAAAATGTACCATGTGTTCAATAATAAGAAACAGGGTTTGAATCATCATAGTTCAGTCTTGTAAGATAAACTGCAGTATTACCAGTGTTTCCGCCCCACAAAACATCTGCATAATTTTAGTATTTGAATGTAAGGATTATCTTAAAATGACACATTTACTTTAAGTGACAACTTAGAAGAAAAGACTATCCCAAATTGGGTAATCATGGGACGTTCAGTCATAACAAGACACGGTCTGAAAGTAAAATAAGTTTGTTGGAAAACAATATTAAAAAATAAAAATAACTCGCAGGGTTGCACATTTAAAATAATGATCTCTCTCGATATTTTTATCTTTGTTGTATCTGTCTTATATTGTTACGAAAGCCAAGTACCAAAATAAGAATTTGCTGCCTACTTCTGTTCACTTCTTCATTTATCTGTAAGTGTAAGTTAAGGAACGCTCGATTTTAGTTTATTTTATTAGCAAATAATCTGTCAGATTCAAACGTTCTTCCAGGTATAAATTAAAAATCATTAAATGTAAAACTCAGGATACTGGATTCATGTCGCATTCTTCAAAACACAAGATTTACAGAATTATTGATAGTAAATTCTTCAGAATCTACCGGAATACACTAGACTTTGGGACAAACGTTTTATTAATGCGCATAACACGACTTTGGACGTAACACTCCGTTAAAAGTATGACATTCATAATTTTCCATGGTGCTTTGCTTAAATTCAATTATGATATGTTTACCCCATTACACTTTTGTAATATGATGCAGATCAAACTGGATCATTTCTAAACACGGCCGATATACGACACGAAACTAATTTATGTGTAACTGCATGTTTCTGGAGTACTGTTATATGCACTTCCAGGAACTGTCAAGTATAAGCAAAGCTTGAACAACAAATTTGCTCCGAAGCACATGCGTTTATCCACGACTGTTACGTGACTAAAAGAAAATAATTCTGAGAAAGTATTCTGGACATTGGTATAGATATTTTGGAAGTCATAAGAGCTGATATTTTATGTTCTAAAGCAATGAGTGCTGCTTTATTTTTGTGACACTTTGTAACACTACAGAAAGCTGAAAGCACGTCGTCTGGTGTCACTACTTAAATGTGTACCATAAATGACTCTCATGCAATATCTGCACATAGGGCAATGGATGTTGATTAAATCAAAGATAAAATGTTAATTAGACATTAACACTTCCGGTATCTATGCATACATTCAGAATTAAATTATTGGTTCTCTTACATATTCAATCCTTCATGTAAAAGGAGTTATTACTGTATAAATAAATCTAAATTATGGTTGAAGATAATTGTAGTAAAGGTGTGGAGTTTGTTAGGTGAAAAATGCATTATATAATGTAAGGTGTATTAAAAATGTATACCACAATGTGAAAGATGTGTATTTAAAATGTCACGAGTCAATGAAATTAGGTTTTGTATATGAAGATGCAGCATAATGTGATTCAGATAATTGCAGTTACTACTGGGAACTACAAACTGGAATAAAAATGTTTGTGGATTTGAATTAATACAGAAGTGAGAGGATCGTATGTATAAAACAGCTTTCAAGGAATAAATAACATAAATGGAAATAAAAAAGAAATAATCAGCAGCAATGAGGAAGCAAGCAATTCTTCTCCAAAATTACAATCACCCAAAGAAAGTAAAGTTTGCTTTTGGGAATGCCCAACTGTTAAAATGCTTCTGAATCACTGTTCCTAGATTTCATACAAAGTCAAAACATATCCACGTTGGCAACTGTAATTCAAGATAGTGATATTTAAAAACTTCATAAAGACAGCAATGGCCAAAATTCTACTTGACAAAGATAATTATACAAACATGAACTTTCACCTGGAAATACACTACAAAAAAAGGCAATAAAAACTTGAATATGTACCGACACTTCAGCCGGTACTCAGAAGGGTGATGTAATTGTAAAAGCTATAGAAATGAATTCAACAGGAAGTCACTTCAAACCTCGGATGGGCTAGGTTAGGTTATCCTCACTGAGGTTTCCCTTACTCTGTTGAGGCAAATGTTGGGTTTGAAGCCGTAAATAGTCCATAACTGCCTCCTTCCAAACCTTAACCTACAAACTCACTCATGATCAACTTCCCGTTTTATTCTATATACATACCTGAAACAATGTCAATAAATAACGTAAAACGCGGCAAGTCAGCTCCACTTGAAAGTTGCTGTACACATATTTACAGATCTAAAATTCGACAGTTCTGTTTCATATTTCAACTCCAATGGCATGCTGAAAACCTCAAACACACAGTGGAACCTCTTTTAACTAACTTACATGGGGGGAACCGTACGTCTGATAAGCCGATACGTCGAATACGCGAGGGGAAGCCATTTTATTAATTTATCACTTTACAATACAATAATATAACAAACTATTCACACTACTACACAGTTTTTCACCACACGATTTTCGTTGACTAAAAACGCGTTGGCGGGAAAGTATCTCGTACCGCGCGGTTTCATTTTACTGACGGTAGAAACGATCGGAATTCGACTGGTTAATGCGGGAGTCGGATAATCGAGGGTCGATTACCAGACCTTTTACTGTATATATGTAATGAGACATTTAATAATCTACAATCAAATTTAAAAATTGTATGAAACTATGTGGCCATTGCTTTCAATTGTCATATCTAATAAAACAAAGTAAGGTGTGCATCCTATACATAATTTTTAGTTAATTTTAAATATGCCTGTAAGACGAACACAAAATAATTCTGAGTTTTCAGCCACATCAAAAACACATAGTTGAGTTTTCACTATGCAACTGTGTGACAGCATTTTGAAAAAAATTGTCATACATAATTATTTGTTACATTTTCAACTATCAAAACAAGTAGGAAATGCTTATGATACATGCATAAGCACTATAATCACATAATACTGAATCATATTAATACCACCTAAGTTTATTGACTGTAATCCATAGCACGGTTTCAATAAAACAAAACGGATCTGGCCAGTCTCAGTTTGTACATCATGACGCTGACCACAGAGAACAATACAAGGCAGACAGCATAATCCATTCTCGTAAAATCCTTTAAAAAATATGCCATTAATATTTCAGAGAAAGTCAGCTTGTTGCATAACAGTGAACATAATGGGCCTAAAATCCTGTACGCTGTTATTACATAAAATGCGGGGACCACGGCATGTCAGTGCAATTAAAAGAAACATTACAGATCAGTTGTTCTATTGTTTACTGAAAAAAGTCAATGACAAAGAAAATGAACAAGCCGCTTATGTACAGAACCAAGAAGAGGAACTAAAAACAAAACACTAGCGAGTAATGTAAAAAAGTATCATAACCTAACTGTGGTGAGCGATGTTAGATTTTGTGTGAATAAAACAAAAATTATAAAGGAACAATGTGTATGTTAATAAGTTTAAAGAATTATTTAGACAGACTATGTATAGGCAAAATCAGGCCCCTCTGCAGGCAATATTGTAAAAGAATATAAAGAATCCAGTAGACCAAAGTCCTTCATAATTCAGAATCATGTACCAACGAAAAGATACAAGATGATAATGTACGAATACATCATTGTATCTCAGAAGGAAAATAATATTAGATTATAAATCCATTAAAATCTGGTGGGAGTTTTGAAACTTGAAGAGAACTGTAAAATAAAAAAGAATTATTCTATAAATTATTGTATATTGTAAATAGCCAGAATGTATGTATGTCTGAATACAGCTGTTTTATTTATTGTCGATAACTCCTGCAAAACTGCTGTTTATATTCTTACAAATGTGTAATGAGTAACCCTACAATGTGTTACTTAGATATCAGCAACTAGAAAAAATCTTTTCTACTGTCGTAAATTCAATATCATGTCTGATTTGAACAATGTATCACACAATACATTTCAAATTGTCTGCACTCTACACAGAAGATGTGCAATACAGAATGCTCTTCCACACATCTCAGTGTACTTAAGGTTCAGATAGATAAATGGAAAGGGACGCTTTAAAAATTTAATTTTTCTTGTAATAATAAAATAATGTACATGTATTGTAATACATTTCTTCACTCGACCGATCTGTTACTGGAACATTGAGAGAAATCACTTCTGCTAAATGGTTTTTCTCATCATGAAATAGCAAAAATACCTTGGCAATTCTTTCTTGTTCATTACCAATAAAATATTTGCATGTGCATCAATATCTCCAGGTGTTAAAATTTCATGTAATATTATGCATGTCCTCAAAGCAAAGTCTGAAAATCTCCACTTGACACAGCTTGTGCGCAATGTGACAGCAACGTCACAGAGGGAAGCTGACGAAAAATAATTATTAACTCTTTCACTGTTTAGCCCTAGTTGGTACAAAATGTCTTGGCTGCATAAATAAATTCAAAAATACTTTTTTTATTTAATTTTACTTTTTAGGCTACTTATCATCCTTAAATTCACCCTGAGATTCAGAACTTAGTAACTTTCTGCAACCTGTTTAACCCTTTGAAGCCAAAGCTCATCTAAATGTTACTTAAGAATTCAGTCCGTACCACAAAGAAAACACAAAACTTCTCCATTACAAAGATAAATTGGAGAACTTTTTAAGAAAATAATTGCTGTTTGCTCTGAGAATGTTACAAAACCCAAAAATACATTCTGAGGGAAAAATGCAGATTTCTTGATCATCAGAGCATGTGGTACACATAATTCTCAAATTCTCTTTCATAAATCCAATTTTCAATCTTTCCACTAGATAAAACCGAGACCGAATTCTATTCGCCTCCCATCCTCACCAACAATCTCTCTGTGATCCATCTTAACGCTGTATTCTGTCAAATTTAAATCACAGCAACGTACAGACAGACAGTTTACTTCCTGAGATTCGTCTTAGCACGTGAATAAATGAGAGAAGCCGCCTTACTTCGTTTTAGACGACCTGAAACCATCCCATTTCTTTTACGTCTGTGACGCGCGTGTCAGTCTGATACACGACGAGCGAAAATTAAATTATGCATAAATGGTCCTGCTGCCTTTCTTTCTCCCCATCATGAACAGCTTACATAACCCACGTGCCACAGGAAATAATGATGCAGTTAACTGCGTGAACAGGCCTGCCAATATTCAGAAACAGCCAGCGTAATTAATTTTCTCGTGGCAGATGTAATAATTCATATAAAAACTGACTGATTCATTTGCATATTCTAGCACGACAATAATATTAACAATTTTTTTAAGCTCACAGTCTATAACCTCTATTACGTCCTCTCCAGCCAAACTAAGTGCTTTAGCAGGAAAGCAAAATTATTATATACCGGAGAAAATTATAAACCCAACAGTTGTTGACTATTTAACGTACATCTTTTCTTTTCCTAGTAGTCGTATAAATGTCTTGTACAACAAAGAAAAACTGGACAAACTCTGAGGAGAAAGCAGCTCTGGCCAACTTTAACAGAAGAGTCATATTTTGTAACAAATGCTGACGTTCAGCAGTATAAAATACGACAACGGGATGGTAATAGATGGTGAGGATATGGAAGGAACCTGGTATATTTCCCAGCAATCACATCAAGGGATTTAGACTGAAAATTTGGTAAGATGTGCAAGATTTGAACTGGGTACCTCCTGACCGTGACATCCACTACACCATTACGTTAAATGAGAAATTTATATGAAATTCAAGTTAATGGGTAAGGATAACGTATCTAGTGACTTCTGCATTATTATAACACTGTAGAAAGCAAAATTAAAATCTTGCAAACTAGTATATTATTGGGAAGAGGACACCGTAAACTAAGTTGTGTACAGCACGTTCCGTGTTTTTGCGTATTTTATTTTCGACAACTCCAGAGTGTATTAAGCACACACCGACCTCAGTTTCCCTCATCAGCCCAGTGAACGTGTCGACTGTTATCAAAACCATTAAAGTCGTCCTCCAGTTTGTGTTGCATGCTGCTACTGTCGTCATCTCTCCTCCTCTTGTACCTTTCTCGAACCACAAAGTAGCAGCCAACGAGTATTAAGAATTGCAGAAGGAGCCATGCGATTACAAGGCCAATTATAGCTCCAAAGTATACACAGACTGAACCTGGTGCATCTGCAAAACACAACACACAAAGTACTTTTTCACTTACTGGTACGTTAAACCTGGACCTTTATTATCCGCAGTATTTATTATCACACTTACTGTTTCAGTTACTTAGAGGAACAATGAATCAGCATTTTACTAAACAGATTCAAAACCACAATCTTACCTTCAATTCCAATTATAATTTTGCCATTCGCTTCGGAAGCTGCTAAAAGTGAGCTTGGAAGCAACTGTGGACTGTAAACAGCGAGCGCCGTCTGCAGGGGCATTTCTTCGTACAGCGTGGCGTTGGTGGCGATTTCTCTTCTGCGTCGACCATAAGCAACGATTCCATTCCCACAGTCTGTCTAAATAAAACAGACGAAATTATAAGATGAAAAAACTGAGAAGAACAATTTTACTGCAATCTGTTTCATCTTGTGCCGTCTTTTCCCTCCCCCACTACAGCATTCCATTTTACATTAATCGGACTAATAATGATGCAGTGATGATGAATTATGAGTACTGGGTAACAGATGCTCGTAATACAAAACCTGTTGTTAGAAATGTGTCAACTTACTGGAGGGCATGTTCCTGGACAGAACAGCACCATGACGCTGAAGCGAACGAGAAGCGAACGAGGAAATTTAAACGCTCGGAAGTTCGCCACAAGAGACTTGGAATTAGGACCAGCCTTGCTGAAAGCTGGAAAGGTAAGAGGATCAGGAGGACAGCCCTTATCATTCAGCAGCAGAATTGAATCACTTCCATCTTTGCTGGTTGCTACTAGATGACCTGCCATGATGTCGAATGGACCTAAAACACAAACAAATTCAGAGGCAAGTTTTAAAATCGCTGCATGCGGAAGACAATTAGTATCTTGAAGGTGTCTTCAATGGCCAGATATCTGAATAAAGTTAGTCCATCCTAGTAAAGAACTTCATTACAAATTCATCCAGTCTGAACCTAAACGGAGTTAATTTTCAAAACGGCTACTTTTATTTATGCAGTCACAATGACATCTATCATAAAATATCACTGCCATTATGCAAGATATTTTGTACATCACTAGTCTGTTAGAAGGTTACTGATGTTTCTGAGTTGCTTGCTGCCTCCATCATCATGGCAATGATCACTTCCGTCTGAAACATCACAAAACTACTATCATACTACACGGTGCAACAACGCAGAAGACAGCCATCTTAAGAATTAAGATATTATGAATCTAATGTAATCTCATATATTTATAAGTCAAACTCTATACTGCGCAGTTCATATGCGAATATAAAACTTTAAAGTTGCACAGCGGTTTACAAAGAAACAATGTTCCAGAACAACACAGATTCTTTTACCATTGTCAGGATCCACGTCAATCCTAAATTCAAGTTCTTGGCCCAGCTGGGCCTCTTTGGTGTTTGGATTTCCCGTACTGTGGTCCACGATACGGATCTGCACAGTTGGAGGAACGGAAGTTGTGTTGACAACGATAGTACTACCCCCCGACTGGCTGCTGAAAAGAAATCATGAATAAGGTTCTTAAATCATTATCAAACGTAGTGTGCATTCTGTAATACTTTATTCACGGTGGCTTCAAAAACAGGTGTATTCCAAATGACTTAATGTCTTTGATGTTCCCACCATTTAAAATGTAGCAAAGTTCCACGCTCAGAATAAACAGGCGTGGGCACTTCATTATCCTTCCTCCTCCCATTTTCCTCTACCTCCTACTCCCACATTTCAATAGAAGGAAGATTTTTAATCCTCATAACCAAAATAGGCAAAAGGCTTAATCCATAACACTCACGATTATATAAAACCATTTATAAAACATGTGGGGGGAGGGAGAGGGGGAGGGAGAGGGAGGGGGAGAGAGAGAGAGAACTGTATAGCCTAACGTTACTTACTCTGGTCCTGTCAAAATAAGGCTTGCATTTACTGTCACGTTTCGAGGAAAGCTAGCATTCAGTAAGCATCCGATCTTCACTGAACGATCGCCTCGTCGCTGTATGATTGGGTTTTGTTGTATCACAATTACTGTCGACATAAGGGTCCTGTCAACGTCCAAGAAATAAAACTAAATTAATTAACTATTTCATAATTAGGTACCGTCATATAAAGTGATTATGACAAACTGGACGTACAAAGGAAATAACAAATCCTTTGGAATTTTGAGCGAAATTTTATTCCAACACTAACACAGATTTGGACGTTGCAAATTCCAACTCAGAGTATAAACAATTTTGGATTTGTTTCAATGCCAGATTGCTCTTATATACTTGATAATATATCTGTGTAATAGACTGTACTTCTCAATTATATGCTATCAGAAAGCCTAAATTCTTATGACATAATACATACTGGTTTGTTTCACCAACTGATTTCATAATCATAATCCCACACTGGTTTGATGATCCAGCACCAGATATAGGCATTTTAAGTGTCGTGGTGTATCCTCCATTTCCTTGGCGGCTACATGAATCTGAATGGCCGACGACATATATCCGCCCACTGAATGGTGCGACTGTCCTTAACGTGACATTTATGTACTGTTCAGAACATATAACCATCACTGAAACGCAGAGTCAAACAACCTCAGCACAACAGACGATTTTCTTGCAAATAAAAATATACTGCGTAAAGTGTAGTTTTGTAGGAAAAACGGCAGTAATGTAGGAAAAATATGTATTTCCTTGGTGAAAGACACATAATACTGCAATTTATTCAACCAGGCACAAGACATCCGCCAACTACTTTGTGTAATCGTGGGTACATCCTTTCAATATATTTCCTACTTTTCAGAGCATATACTTTACTTTTAATGCATAAAAAATGAATACTTCTAAACGTTTACCTTTGAAAAATCCATTCCTTAAATATGGCATATTGATAACAGATCAAAAGGAATTCAGAAATGTCCAGTGAAGCAGAAGGATTCTTTTCCTGTAATTATAAGACCTTTCCCTCTATAAAAAATTAAACAAATGCACTCAACTTACGATCTAGACAGGGCACTCTCTCCATATATATGGCCCCTGCAAGAGGCCTCAGCGCACGAGGTCCAACACTCACAGTATCATCACCGTGAAGCCAGCAGACAGACACGCCATTCTGACGAGCTGTGCCAGGCACATACGTCAAGCCCCGACAGATAAACTTAGTTTCATTCACACACTTATCATGGCACTGCAAATTGACAAATTCCACTTTTACACAGAATCACCTTCTCTTCCGAAACACAACTACTACGAAAATCGTGGCAGCAACAGGGCGCGAATTTATAAATTCAATGAAAAATCGCAGAAAAATGAATGCGTACACACAGTAAAAGTGTCCTTTCCTTTCTCATCAGTTTAACACGTATTAATCTCACCAGAAACACACATTTTTATGCAGCGGCTCTACCCAAGTAATCTGAATGGTCAACATTTCTAACAGCGTATAAAATATTTCACATGGAAGTCTAAGGTTTAAAGTATGCAACGTTAAGTCATTCATCGCCCCGATGAAGGAGGCAGCAAGCAGATCTGAAATGTCGGTAAACTTCCGCTAGACTAAATGACGCAACAACCCAGAAGACAGCCATCTTAATCTGAGTCACACTAACGTCACTGATCCTAACGTTAGCAATGCTGTCTGGACTTGCAAGCAGATTTCATAGGAACATATTACTTTAATCTTTAAGACAGGAGATGGAGACAGGACATTCCACCTACAAGTCCACATGACATAAAAACCCAGAAGACAAACACTGACAACTAAATAATATCCAGAAATGTAGAGTCCTAAAACGGTTGTTTGACAAAATTCCTACCTCAAGCGATCGCATCGAGTTTACTTTCATCGGCTCGTTCAAAGAAACAGTGCTGAAGAACACAGACTCGACTCATCTCATTTCTACAATCTGAAATCTACGTACCGTGTCTTGACTTAAATTTGTAAACTCCAGGTCTCTGTAGTTGATAGTTCTGTTTGGGTATTCTTCAAACGAACATGTCTGACTTGGTGGTGCTTAAAATCAAAAGAAAACATTTAACAAATCAATTAGCAGACATTACAGTATTTAAACATGTACTAACCACGTGCAAACACGCCCACAGAAAGAGACAGTGTACATTAACACAAAAAGTTGATATTCTGTTAATGGTAACTGCCAATAGAACATTTGTAGCAGCCATTTTAACCAGGTTTATACTAAATTTCCCTGGAACTCTCTGACCTCATCATGAACAATTCGGTTCCAAATGGAGGACACTTCCAGGTTGGAACGTCCGACTGATTTGTGATGCATGAATGAATGTCACATGAGCAGCTTCTTTAAACATTCTGCACGTGTTTCTCGTTTGTGTTTGTACGACCTTGGCCTACTTCCACTGAATGCAGTGCCCTTCCTCATAAGCACACTTAGCTAACCTGCAGTTTCTCAGTCAGGCCCTACTTTAAGTTGTTAATGTGTTTTAATATGCATACAACAAATGTTTCTTTGTTATAACAACTATCACATTTGAAAGGAATGGTATAAATGCACTGCCTCATAACGTCCACATAATCTAAGTGTGTTTCTTTGTTTCAGATTTAAAATTCAATGAAAGATATACTTCAATCAACTGACGTTCCTCCCACTAATTGGGGGGCAAACAATTCCACCAGTTCCAAAAGCATTTGGTCAAACAAAGAATAGAAAAAAAGACTGATAATTTGTTTTCTGATTCACTGCGAATCTGTCTCTCAGTTAAATACAACTAGAAAATTCAACAGCTGGCTTGATCAGCAAAGCAAGTTTACAAAGACCACTTACGAGAATCAACGCACTGGTTCTCCAAATATTCCATGCCCCAAGGTGTCGCCCTGTAGGAGTCACTTCTCGTCTGTCTGTCCTGGTTACTCAGAACGCATCTTTTTGCGGCGTACGTGAACTCAGCCGAACGACATACGAAGCGATTTTCCTGCAGACATCGCAGCATGCACTCTTCTCTGGTGTCACTTATGTACGTCACGACGTCAAATCCAACCAACTCGTAGTTTGGTACTCTCTCAAAAATCCATCCCTTCGAACTGCACTTTGTAGGCACTACAAATGAAAATAAAATACAATGCTGAAGACGCCCCCTCCGCAGCACCACGACATGAAGATGCACAGGACAGCAGAAGGAAAGTTCCACGAATTCTTAACATCAGCACAAGATTGAGGTCAGAAACCACATTCACAACCTCACTACTTTAGACCTTGGGAAAGTGCTCTTGATGGGTGGGTGGGCCAAAAGGAATGTGGAAATGGTACTGAAGAGGAAAATCCGGGTTCCTCCTGGGAATCTGATTTCATAGGCAAGACACACGTACCTCCAGCGGGCAAGCACGTCCTTTCAAAGTAGTTGGTTTCGTTTAAGTGCGGACTGTAATGATAACCATAGTCGCTGCTAACAGTTGTCGCTGTTCCGTATGAACTGGACACTCGATAGCACGTGGAAGATGTATAATCCACCAGAAATCCATCACAGTCTGCAGAATTCTTACACCTGTCACAGAGAAGTTCAAATGAATTGCCGACAGAGTCTGTATTTACCGTGCATCACCATTTAATCACAAACAGTGATACACACTATATAGACATGACATAAGACATGTAACCTAAATTTGTATTTGAAACATTAATTGATATGATGTATCTATAAAGAAATACACTGCAACTGACTTAAGTCTTTATGTAATACACAGTCTGGAATATGGTCCAACAACTTACACTGTGGACCTCAAACACCAAATTTAATAAAATTCATTGCATTATTTAAAAGTTTAAATGAACATCATGTCCCATTTATGGCAGTAGTTATCAAGGTTTTAAGATCAGAGCCCACATTTACTCTTAACAAACAGGCTGCAAAGTCATAAATGATGCCAATTTATTGAAACTTCTTGGTAATTTATTAAAACCCACTATCAGAAGAAGATTCACATATTACTCAATAATTTTCTTTAAGAAGTTGGAATTTTTATTAACTACATTCTTCAAATTGAGAACTTGGGAACATTTTTTTATCATAGAGGCTAATACAACAACACAAAAATTGATGTGGGACTACCAAAACATGTTTGCAGGCTGCATGTTGAGAACCTAACCTGCAATAAGGCATTCACTTTGTGCACTCCACATACAAAGTTAAGGTACAGAAGGGAACATAACCTAAAACAAGGGACCTTCAAGTTATATTCATGAAGTATAAACACTAACCACTATTTTAACACAGTGTTCTCCGTAAATGAGAAATAGATGTCAGTTCTGTACTCTTCAATCTTAATATAATTATCCTTTGATCATGTGATCAAAGGATCCTTTACTGGTAATTTGTTTATACGATCTTGCCAATATAAAACATAACCCACACTTATCAGTAAACCTTGGACATAACACAATTTAATTATATTATTACATTATATACCATTTTCACACTAATAATAATGCAGCCAGTATCAAGATACTTTATACAGCGATCAAAAAGCGAAATGTCTCAACCACGCGTAGAGGACACCACAATTTTTATGACACTCCACAAATACACATCTTAACTCTATCAGTTATGACCACACTACCCAAACTGGTCTTACCGTTTGTAGCATTCTCCAGTTACTACATGACCTTGGCTTGCATATAATGGAAGTAAATAATCTTGACCCTGACTGTATCCCGATACTTTTACAAAGGTATCTGTTCCATTGCAATGGTAATGTTGTGCTGCAACAAACATACGTTAATGTACCCTTACAGTTCCTGTAACGGAATAACCAATTTCATTCAATTACGTGTCACAAAAATCTGAAGTGGCAATGTCACGGTCACACAGAAACTTACTCACCTAATACTTGGTGGAGCAAATGGCAAGTGAACAGAATTAATGTGTAATGATGAAATGAAGTGTCATGTGATGTACTGAAGAGATACATTGCAGATAACTGAAACGGCAAAACAGCAATACATGTAAAATACGACACAAAAATACATATTGGTAGAAATTAGAAGAGCAGTTTTAAATTGTTAGGATAAAACAAAAAATTAAAGCACTGTACTACCAACCAATTCTGATGATGGTACTGCTTTTTTACAATTAGTACTATTGGATTTTGGTATTTGTCCAGCATCTAGTATTTTGAAAATAGCACAGTGTTTCAGAAATTGGAATGATTGGGGCAAGCTTTTTCTATCAGACTTGGCTGAGTTCACAGTCTCCACCTTTTAACCTGAGGACAGAAACAGATCCAGTTTCTGAAATGTTACATTCTTTTCAGGATACCAGGCGATGGACAAGGCCCACAAACACAGTGATTCCAAGTGCGCCACCAGTAAATTTCCCCCGCCAGAGGGCAGAGGGAGGAGGACAGAAATTCCTGAAGAGACCATACGGCAAAATCTTCTTGAGCAACTAAAAGTCTCTGAGGTACAGGTACAAAAAAAATTAATATTAAAGACGCTACATACGCAGACCAAAGGTCACAGTAATATGCAGCAAATGGCACATCAGTACAGTCACCCTCAAAACACTGCAACAGCGTAGCACCCAATGTGCTTACAGAGTTGAAAATATTGCGACAAAAGGTGAATACAAAAGACACGGTTAGATTTTAATAAAACTGGCGTAGCAGTGACGTTCACTTACAGTTCATCTGAGAACATCTGTACAGCATACAAAATTATAAGTTCGAAATCATACACCATTACTCATTTGGAGAAATCAAGAGTCATTACATGACATAGGGCACAAAGAAAGAAATATTTTGCTACCTAGTGCACCTAAAAGTAGGTCTTTGGGCCTATCATGCGGTTGGCACATCCACAAGAGATTATCCAATTATATTTAAAAACCATTTAAAACAGGGGTGTCAGTCATCCATAAGGGCAATGAAGCAGTTATGCTGGTACTAATGTAGACCACGTTTTGCTGCAATGGCTCACGATGGCTTAACAAGTATAAAAATACCTGCAACAAGATCCCCATATTTTCAATTTACTTTCTGAATGGAAATTTATTTACAATGCACATTCAAATGTCAGATCACAATACAATGTTTTGAAACAAATTATAATTGTACACAACACGGATGAGAAACACTTGAGAAATAGATCATTTATTTAAATAAAAAGTTTTTTTGGATGTTATCCATCGTCTAATAAAATAATAAAATTGAACAACGTTTCGGAGATGAGTGTTTTATAAATAAACAAATATATTAATTTAATAATAATCTTAAGTATTTAAACAAAAGTAAAAATGATTGATTAATTTACATACTGTACAGCATTTCAACAGCTGCTAACATTTCACTGAAAAAAAAAACACCTGCCCACATGCCTACGCCCACATGTGAAGTGGGACACAACAAACTGACAATAAAACGCTTCAGAGCACAGAAATACATTCAGACTGCCAGAAGCGACTCCTCCACTTTTCCTTTCATTCCGTGTGAGTGAGTGAGTGGAGGTCATGAGACCTTGAAACAGTTCACATGTGTCTGGACGTTGGTAACCAGGTCAAATGAAATGGGAAGTAACATTCACGTGCTAAATTACTTCCCATCAGAGAGAGAGAGAGAGAGAGAGAAGAGGGTATTATGATTCACACAATCAGTCCCTTAATTAGAGTCTCGTCTTGCTACACTGCACCTGTATTTCATTTCTTTCCTTAAGACGCACAACTAATTACTCCCAATCGCGTATTTCCACCACCACATCCAAACTTCAGAAAAGTCAACATCCTTCCTGCATTAGGCCTTAATACCTGTTGCATCTGAAGCTGACATAAGCTACTTATTGGCACATTCTCTTTATAAAATTTATTAAATCAAAAAAATCCTGAGACAAAGTCACTTGCCACTGCATACATTTAACCCTTTAAAGCCCGGTGGTAACTACGTATATAATACCACGTGCTCTAATGTTAAATTAATCTGTATTTACTTGTTTTGTGTGATTTTCAGAATAAACAGTGATTATTTCCTTAAACAGCATAAAGCAACTAAGTTAATAGTAACATTCTGCATGCTTTATCAATTACCTTTGCTTTTTGCAACATACAAAATAATTCAGTGCACAAATTTTAGAATTCTATGTTGTAAATGATATGACTGACTTAAAACAAAAATACTGCATCAAAATAACTCATGTACTCAAAAGGCTTATGAAAACTGCTCCACTAATTAAAAACTTATTGGTCAGGATATCAATTATTTTATTTTATTTAACAGGCTAGCAGCTCACGTCCGTGTATGTACGCAGCCTTACAGACCAGCTGACCTTAGGTCTCCTTAATAACTAAAACACTATCACTTAAGCAAACCATCGCTAACAAACATGTTAAAACTGACTAAGGACACCATTCACTTTAAATACGCACCACAAGTCGAGAAAGATGCATGAAAAAAGGAGACAAAACAATCACAGGCCATGCATGAGGACTGTTCAGTTAATTAGGTGGTAGCGTCTGTTTTATTTTTCTGGTGGGATACTTCTACAACAAAATGTTAAATCAAATTTCCAAAGTCCAGTCCTTATATATTATTACCATAAAATGCAGGAATCATGGATTCCAATATTAATGACACCAACATTATAACTACGAAACTTTAAGTCCATTAACAACACATAAATGCTACAACACTTTTCTTTTACAAAATTATTATCACAGAATATTTATGAATACCGGTGATACTTCCTACAATTGCACATAAATATGTCAAATGATTGTTTACCTGAGTGGCTGAATGTTACTTTCTTTCGATTGTTCAGACTCCTTTCTTTTAAGAGAGATAGGGTCCCAGTGAAGAATGCCCCATCTCGCAAGCTTTCCATCCAGAGCCCCCCCCCTTTCCTCGCCCCACCCCATCACTGCACTTACAACGTACCTCCTCAGTCAGGCGTTTTGCACTCATGCAATAGCAGAATGACGAGGCTGCAACCGAAAGAATCTTTTTTTTCAGATTCTGGGTCATCGTAATGTTGAAATAGGAACATGTTCCGTGAATGACTCATCATCTCATCTATTTATATAATTTTCCCACCTATGTACAAGTGTATATACTGACAAAATACCTAAACTATGTACATATTACAGTTAATATTTAAAGTGAGGCCCCACTCCAAGTGCTGTAAATGTCAAACCACCACTGAGTTAATTTGTAAAAAATTAGTATCATAAACCAGGACCAGAAGTTCCAAAAGCAAAGCACTAATTAAAATTCACTTTTGAACAGAACTTCTGCAGTCCATCCAGGCAAATGTGACAGTAGTACCTCACATTACGCACTGACAACTTCCTTCTGCTAACTTTCCAATTCATTATATATTCATCACAGATCATTCAACACTATACAGTCTCGGCTACCAACATCATCGTTATACAAATCACAAACAAATGAAATTCATGAATCAGTAGGAAAACTTTAAAATTTCTTCTCCGATGTATTTTAAAGAAAAAACATGGAAGAAAAATATTTTATGTTGTCCACGTTCTAAAATGGTTAAATCAACATTTAGACCATTAATTAAATAAGAGCGCACAAAATTAATTTAATTTATATGGAACACACTGTATCATCCAAAATATTTTATGGTAGGAACTCTACTGCAAGTACAGCACTTTCCAAAATGTGGGTCACCATAAAAATAAGTGAAGTTTGTTATTTTTTCAATGTTCTTCAAAACACATTTATCGTTATACAAAACACAAACAAATGAAATTCATGAATCTGAAGGAAATCTTTAAAATTTCTTCTCCGGTGTATTTTAAAGAAAAAACATGGAAGAACATCGTTATACAAATCACAAACAAATGAAATTCATGAATCAGTAGGAAAACTTTAAAATTTCTTCTCCGATGTATTTTAAAGAAAAAACATGGAAGAAAAATATTTTATGTTGTACACGTTCTAAAATTGTTAAATCAACATTAAGACCATTAATTAAATAAGAGCGAACAAAATTAATTTAATTTATATGGAACACACTGTATCATCCAAAATATTTTATGGTAGGAACTCTACTGCAAGTACAGCACTTTCCAAAATGTGGGTCACCATAAAAATAAGTGAAGTTTGTTATTTTTTCAATGTTCTTCAAAACACATTTCTAAATAAGATTAATATATTTTGCAGTAGAACAGAACTCTTAATCCAACAGAAGGGTCTGTGACCTAGCCTCTGAGTACAACATAGAAGAATCAAATATTCTAAAAGATAGTCACCTCATTTTGAAAGAAAGTTAAATCTACTTAAGAATATAATGGTAAAATACTGTTCTTAAATGCAACAACTAGCACTGAATGTCAAAGAAAGACCATTCCTTAGAAGACAATGACGTATTGAATTTGTCCTGAATTCTTTGTAAACTGTAACCTACAAACTTCTCAGCTGTCACATAAGCAGGAAATGACCTCATAAGAAGCAGCAACAAGATAAAGGGAAAACCTTTTGTTACACGAATCATTAAAGCAGAGTCACGTAACAAATGAGAACAAACGTACACGCAACCAGATTTACGGAATATACAAAGTGCTCCTATTATGCTTCTTCTTCTGTAGTAAATCACTGATGTGAATAACACGTTGAAAGATTGTAATTTTAATGTGTTTTGTTAAAACATTACATAATCACACGGAGACTAGTTTCTAATGACAAAACACACGTTCCATTAAGTCACACTATTGCCCATATGGAACCCAAACCAAACTTAACAGAAGAGTCTTCACGCATTTCAAAATAATGTAGCAAAAATGAAATGAAAACGTATAAAAATTTTGCAACTGGTGTTTGTAACGGTTATGAATTACCTACTTGACCATACAGAGAGTGTAATTTCTTGGTGATAAAGTGTACAAGGTCAACCGCAGTCACCTACTTGTCTGAAAAGTCACATTTATATGAAGTTAAAATACTGGCTGGCTGCCACATACAAAAACTGACCCAAGGTCAAATAGAATTAAGGGCTGCTAATCTGACAAGGGTGCCGTGGTTCCCCTGATGGCATTCATAAATCAATGGGGAGAGAAAAGAATTCACAGAAGCAAGTATGGAAAACAGTAAAAGAAATTTGAAACCACGTGTAAAAAATAAAAGAACACATACAAAGGAAAATAATACAAAATACTAACCTTGAGCTTTTTGATGATTCTGTAGAAATAACTTAATCACTCGCACGCGAGGCCATCACATTCACTAAAACAATCTGTTGAGTATCCTGCTCCAATCACTCACGTGTTCCTCCATGTCAGTAATACGCCCTCACCTCAGAGATATTCAGTGATAACTGTGTGTGTGGACACACAGTTACACACACAAGTAGCGAAAGTTGTTTACTGATATGGTGTTGTTAGTCATTAGCATGTCCCCTCTCAGAGTGACACACACTCACTCACTCACTCACCTCCACTTTTAGTATCACATCTTCTCACATTATGCCTAGTACAGTCTCTGCAACAAATCAAACAGAGAGTAAAAAGTAGCAGCATTAGTATTAATGACTATTATAATGATCATGTTTTTACTATTATTACGATATAGTAATAGCAACACTGACATCTACAAAATGAAGACATTAAACAACGAAATGTTAGAAAACTATTTCACACTGGTATAAGGGATTCAGATTTAAATAATGTAGCAAATGTACTTATCGCTACACCTACTAATAAATTAATATTATAGAACCTGCACAAGAATAATTAACATTATTTGATTTTCATTATACAGTATCTATAACAAACTGCAGTAACTAACTTCACAGTTACTGTATCTTTATTATTATAATACCTGCCATAATAAATATATTTTCGATGAGAAGGAATAAATACCAAAAATGTATATAAATACACAAATAATAACACAACAACACTTTCAGTGACAAAGATAAAATCTACAAAGAAGTCATGCATGTTTCCAAACACAGAATATATACTCTTTTTCAATAGAATTTTCTGAAGAATAATGTACAAATACAGATGGTTCAAATGATCCATTTCCTACATTCTTACTGCCTTCCAACACTTCCCTTTACACATCACATGACTATTGCTCAAACACAGTATAATTGCTTTTTTTCCAAACCACATTAACTTAAATTAATTCATAAACATATTAAGCTTTCACAAGAACACTAGCCTGCACAACAACTTGCAAATTCTACATTACACAACACCTGCTACTTCCTTCATCACACCAACACTCAACACAAAAATTGCCTCCTTCACAGAAAGAAATAACCCTGATTGGACAAAAAAAATATTCTAATTTGACCAAAATAAAAACAAAAGCCTGGCTGCCTACCTGCATATTTACTGAAGTGTCTACAAGAACGGGTCTTGACTGTACTTAGTAGTCATTCTAAATGCAAGTGTATTGTACTGCATAACAACTGAAGGTCATGTGGGAGGGGAAAGGGGAAATGGAGGAGCAGAGGGGAGGGAAGTATTAAGTAATCCTAGGAGAGTCACACAGTGTTTTAAGGTATTCCCTGCAGGTGTTCTGAAAAAAATACTGTGCCACATGCATGATTAATGCTTTCACTACAGGCGTTATACCACACAGAATAAATCTACAGGCAACAGGAAAGTTCACTTACATCTAGACAAAACAAATGAACCAACCGATGCTAGAATCTATCAGCATTCATGTACACAACAAAAGGTACTTTACATTCCTTAGAACTGTTACTGATAGCTAATCACAGGCCAAAGTTGTGTAAAGGATGTCTGAGCAGCAGAAAATGTTTGATAAAAACACGAAACCAGGAGAAAGTTGGCGGACGTGAAAACAATTGAATTATCACAATAAACACTTAGCACTTACCCTTGAAACAAATGAAATACTGTTCTGTGAGCAATGTTTTGTGTGTTCTCTGCACAAAGTGAATGCATAATGAAGAGGTAATCTCTGTTCATCTGTCTGTCCACCTACATATTCCATCTCTGAAAATACTTGACAGATTTCGATGACATTTATTTTGGTTCCTGATTCATCCAGCTGAAATCGAACCACTGATTTTCTCAGAAATGTTTCAGTATGCAGGACATAAGATCTACAATGTTGAGTATAAATATTTTGTTTCGTATGACGAATATTTAATAAAGTGCAAGGAAGAGTAATTTGTGACATCACAAACAATTTTCAACAGAACATTTGTACCTGCAACAGAGCGCAAATAAATCGTTGGTGTTGGTTTGTTTTTTCTCGTTGTTGAAGGAAGTAAACAGTTACTTATCTGCGCACTAAATAATTTTTACAATTTAAAAGTTTTACTGAAACGATAATGAAAGCTTGTGTGGGATTCAAAACGCATACTTCCACTGTAGATCTTGTCATATGAAATGTGACAGAATGTGACAATTAAAACTAAAACAGAGACATATTTTCATACCTGTGTTGTTATAATGCCAGTGAGAATACACTCTATGGCCACCTGTCAACAGCCAGAGATATTTGTAGAAAAAGCATTCCTTTTCTAAATTTAACATCAAGTCAGATGGCAATATCCAGAAATAAAGTTAAAGGTGTCTAAATGGAATCTTCACACTGTGAAAATACAAGATTAGAAGCAAAGAAGGTCAATTAGAAGACTGCAAATTAATACACAACTATTTTAACATCTACTACAGCCTCACTTCCAATCTTGTGAATTTTACTTTGTAGTGAACTTAAAGCAAAATGTTTACAGTAAAAATCTATGCACTATGGAGGCCTTACAAATTTATGTACCGTTATTCACACAAATATATGGGAAATTAACTTCAAATAGTATCAGAAAATGGATTATAATGATTTGAAACATGTTAAATTCTTGCAAAAAAAACTTATAAATTCTGCTTTAAAATGTGAGAAAAATTTTTTACTAGAAAGTATTAAATCATGAGAGTACTTACCTGCATAATACTTTTCACTCTTCTGCAAAACTAATTGTATGCCAGCTGTCGAGTTTCTGCAAAGCTGAACGAGGGGCACATTCCAGAACTCCGACAGCACTGTCATTTTACTGTTGTTTAAACCTAACCTTTAATTCCTATTGCTCCTGAACTATTTTAGTCTGAGACTTTCTTGATGTTAAAAAAAAATCAAAAACTCCCCCCTCCCCCACCAATGTATGGAAGTTAATTAAAACATTATTTATAATTTTAAAAGAATAATTACTAACTACTAATGAACTTGAATAATATGTAAAAAAATGAAATTAAATTTTGAAGCATAGTAATATTCTCTTCCTAACAGTTTACGTTTCCTTTAATTAAAGCAAATATTGCATTCTTCTCAAATCACATTTTACAGTGTAAAGTTCAAACTGAACATATAAGACAAATATTCTGTTCAAGTTATTAATTATTATCACAAAATTGGTACTTTCTTGATTATCAGACACTCAACAATAGTAAAAGATAAATAATACTACACTCAAACACATGTCATTCAGTTTCTACTTCACTTTACTAGTAGATTTTAAAAGTAGCAGACAATATCAACAGAGTCCTTGAAACAAGATTATCGCTTTATCAAAAAACCTTTCGTCCACAATAAATCTTAAACGTATTATTAAAGTTTTGTGGAGATCAAATTTATATGTTCAGTCAATGAGTAAGACCCTCTTCACTCTCACATCTAGCCAGAATAAACAACTTTTAAAAATATTTACACTGCTGCCAAGGTTTACGTATTCCACCATCATCCATATTTCTAAAGTAAAAGATATATTTGCAGAAACTAATCTTGTGCTGTAGAAACACAACATTAATTTACAAATGCTCCCAATCCAGTAACTCAGTGCTGATTATGTGGTATTCGGTCACGCAGGTAAGACAAGACGCCGGGGGTGCCTTTGGTTAAAATCGCGTGACGAGGCTGTCTGAAACTATTTCCAGTCAGCTCCAGGCACCTACAAAGCAGTAAACTTGTGACATTCAAAGAATAACATGACAAACTGTTGCAAACCGCGCTACACGCTAAAATTATTTTATCTATATCTACTGAATGTTTATCCAACACGGCAAAACAAATTTAAGTCTGAAATTTCTTGCTTCCAAAAATTGTAGGCCACAAAGATTCTTCGATTCATGTGGACACATATTACACATCATCTTATACTACAGCTAATAATATTCATAAATATTTTAATTTTAAACCTCATTTTAAACATGACACACTTTGACACTCGTACTACGTGCAGAGATGTATTATAAAGACAGACTGCACATTCCTCCTACCACTTTCAAAATATAAATATATTTTATTTCTACATTAATTGTTTATTTAGTAATACCATATAAACTGTAACATTACTATATAATTTGTAATGTATATGTAGTAAATAAACTTCTCTCTGCATGCTCCAGTATCAAACATGTTCTCGGGACTGAAATTATACTACAAACACGTAAATGTGATACGAAAGATTTCGTTAATGATACTCACTTTAGCTGTGTCATGTTGCCCAGCTCTGGAGGCACATGACTGATATCGTTATTGGCCAGATGCAAGGTGGCCAGCCTGCGCAGCTGCGACAATCCCGATACGTCTATCGCGGTCAAACGATTGTCACAGGCAATCAGATTTTCAAGGCTTGTTAATTTGTACACGCAGTCAGGGATTTCAGAAAATCTGGAAATCAAATAACTAGTAATTTAACGGGCGTAGTATAAATGACAATAATTGGATATTTTAGTCATCATAAACAAATAGTTCAGTCTTGTTTTATTAAATACTGTATTTACTAGAGTATAACACATACCTGTATTTTTGGATTGAAAAAATTAAAAAAGCAAGTATTTGTGAGCATGCTTCGAAATAAATAAAACATAAATGTCATGTGAATAAAGAGTGCATTAGGAAATGGTGTAAACACACAGGAAAAAAAGAAAAGCTAGAGAATGAAACTAAAAGTAAGAAGGCATTTTGCAGTAAGCATGACTCGACGCTTATGTCGTGGACTTGAGGAAGTCTGCCTTCGTGGTTTATAATGAAATACTGCAGTTGTAATCTTCATCTACAATAGTGTAAAATTAAGATTCCTGCATCTGAATTCAGGACTGGTTATGGGTGGGTTTGATGGTTCTTGAACTACTGACAGCCCCTACTGCCATATGATAAATGTTAGTTAAAAAAATGACCACAGACATTCACACTCCGTGGGAAATTCAAAAGAAAACCAAGCGACTTCAGATCAACTGAAATAATGGCCGTGCCCATAACTGGTCAACAGTTACTTACTTGTTAAAGGATATTACTAGTTCTCTTAGCCTTGAAAGACTTTCAAATGACTGAGGTAAGTCTTCAAGTGAATTCTTCTGTAAGTCAAGGTACAGCAGGTTTTCACTCAATCCCAGCTCAAAAGGAAGTACAGACAGAGCATTGCAGCTAAGGTTCAACTCTGTGATGCGACTCGTGAGTCTCTTCAGCCTGCAACACAGTGACAGAATGCATCTTCTCCAGCTGACCATAATAAACGTGAAGAAATCAGGAAGGAACTTAACACGGCTACCTGATGTGATGATACAATGAACCTGAACTTCCTTGCAAGTCCAAAATCAACAAGTTTAAGTCTAATGAAGAATCAAGACAAAATTGGAATGACATGTAAAACAAGATTGCGAAGGTGTAATCCATACCAGAAAGCACACACATGTTCTCTGTAAATTACTGATTAATAACAAAATATTACGTCAGTTATCTTACTTACTCAACTTTAGTTTTGGTCTTAACGTCTTCTTTAAATAATATAAATCAATACCTATATGTTATACACTGCATTAGTTCTGCAGTAGCATGCTAGACTCGTACACGTCGTCACTGGATCAAATCCTGGTCCAGTTTCAAGGAAATCCATTCTCCCCTCCCCGGGTTATAACACGAACACAGACATGACGAACACATAAAGCAATTTTAATAGGCACTCAGCATACTTCCTACAATTGCACATAAATATGTCAAATGATTGTTTACCTGAGTGGCTGAATGTTACTTTCTTTCGATTGTTCAGACTCCTTTCTTTTAAGAGAGATAGGGTCCCAGTGAAGAATGCCCCATCTCGGAAGCTTTCCATCCAGAGCCCCCCCCCCTTTCCTCGCCCCACCCCATCACTGCACTTACAACGTACCTCCTCAGTCAGGCGTTTTGCACTCATGCAATAGCAGAATGACGAGGCTGCAACCGAAAGAATCTTTTTTTTCAGATTCTGGGTCATCGTAATGTTGAAATAGGAACATGTTCCGTGAATGACTCATCATCTCATCTATTTATATAATTTTCCCACCTATGTACAAGTGTATATACTGACAAAATACCTAAACTATGTACATATTACAGTTAATATTTAAAGTGAGGCCCCACTCCAAGTGCTGTAAATGTCAAACCACCACTGAGTTAATTTGTAAAAAATTAGTATCATAAACCAGGACCAGAAGTTCCAAAAGCAAAGCACTAATTAAAATTCACTTTTGAACAGAACTTCTGCAGTCCATCCAGGCAAATGTGACAGTAGTACCTCACATTACGCACTGACAACTTCCTTCTGCTAACTTTCCAATTCATTATATATTCATCACAGATCATTCAACACTATACAGTCTCGGCTACCAACATCATCGTTATACAAATCACAAACAAATGAAATTCATGAATCAGTAGGAAAACTTTAAAATTTCTTCTCCGATGTATTTTAAAGAAAAAACATGGAAGAAAAATATTTTATGTTGTACACGTTCTAAAATTGTTAAATCAACATTAAGACCATTAATTAAATAAGAGCGAACAAAATTAATTTAATTTATATGGAACACACTGTATCATCCAAAATATTTTATGGTAGGAACTCTACTGCAAGTACAGCACTTTCCAAAATGTGGGTCACCATAAAAATAAGTGAAGTTTGTTATTTTTTCAATGTTCTTCAAAACACATTTCTAAATAAGATTAATATATTTTGCAGTAGAACAGAACTCTTAATCCAACAGAAGGGTCTGTGACCTAGCCTCTGAGTACAACATAGAAGAATCAAATATTCTAAAAGATAGTCACCTCATTTTGAAAGAAAGTTAAATCTACTTAAGAATATAATGGTAAAATACTGTTCTTAAATGCAACAACTAGCACTGAATGTCAAAGAAAGACCATTCCTTAGAAGACAATGACGTATTGAATTTGTCCTGAATTCTTTGTAAACTGTAACCTACAAACTTCTCAGCTGTCACATAAGCAGGAAATGACCTCATAAGAAGCAGCAACAAGATAAAGGGAAAACCTTTTGTTACACGAATCATTAAAGCAGAGTCACGTAACAAATGAGAACAAACGTACACGCAACCAGATTTACGGAATATACAAAGTGCTCCTATTATGCTTCTTCTTCTGTAGTAAATCACTGATGTGAATAACACGTTGAAAGATTGTAATTTTAATGTGTTTTGTTAAAACATTACATAATCACACGGAGACTAGTTTCTAATGACAAAACACACGTTCCATTAAGTCACACTATTGCCCATATGGAACCCAAACCAAACTTAACAGAAGAGTCTTCACGCATTTCAAAATAATGTAGCAAAAATGAAATGAAAACGTATAAAAATTTTGCAACTGGTGTTTGTAACGGTTATGAATTACCTACTTGACCATACAGAGAGTGTAATTTCTTGGTGATAAAGTGTACAAGGTCAACCGCAGTCACCTACTTGTCTGAAAAGTCACATTTATATGAAGTTAAAATACTGGCTGGCTGCCACATACAAAAACTGACCCAAGGTCAAATAGAATTAAGGGCTGCTAATCTGACAAGGGTGCCGTGGTTCCCCTGATGGCATTCATAAATCAATGGGGAGAGAAAAGAATTCACAGAAGCAAGTATGGAAAACAGTAAAAGAAATTTGAAACCACGTGTAAAAAATAAAAGAACACATACAAAGGAAAATAATACAAAATACTAACCTTGAGCTTTTTGATGATTCTGTAGAAATAACTTAATCACTCGCACGCGAGGCCATCACATTCACTAAAACAATCTGTTGAGTATCCTGCTCCAATCACTCACGTGTTCCTCCATGTCAGTAATACGCCCTCACCTCAGAGATATTCAGTGATAACTGTGTGTGTGGACACACAGTTACACACACAAGTAGCGAAAGTTGTTTACTGATATGGTGTTGTTAGTCATTAGCATGTCCCCTCTCAGAGTGACACACACTCACTCACTCACTCACCTCCACTTTTAGTATCACATCTTCTCACATTATGCCTAGTACAGTCTCTGCAACAAATCAAACAGAGAGTAAAAAGTAGCAGCATTAGTATTAATGACTATTATAATGATCATGTTTTTACTATTATTACGATATAGTAATAGCAACACTGACATCTACAAAATGAAGACGTTAAACAACGAAATGTTAGAAAACTATTTCACACTGGTATAAGGGATTCAGATTTAAATAATGTAGCAAATGTACTTATCGCTACACCTACTAATAAATTAATATTATAGAACCTGCACAAGAATAATTAACATTATTTGATTTTCATTATACAGTATCTATAACAAACTGCAGTAACTAACTTCACAGTTACTGTATCTTTATTATTATAATACCTGCCATAATAAATATATTTTCGATGAGAAGGAATAAATACCAAAAATGTATATAAATACACAAATAATAACACAACAACACTTTCAGTGACAAAGATAAAATCTACAAAGAAGTCATGCATGTTTCCAAACACAGAATATATACTCTTTTTCAATAGAATTTTCTGAAGAATAATGTACAAATACAGATGGTTCAAATGATCCATTTCCTACATTCTTACTGCCTTCCAACACTTCCCTTTACACATCACATGACTATTGCTCAAACACAGTATAATTGCTTTTTTTCCAAACCACATTAACTTAAATTAATTCATAAACATATTAAGCTTTCACAAGAACACTAGCCTGCACAACAACTTGCAAATTCTACATTACACAACACCTGCTACTTCCTTCATCACACCAACACTCAACACAAAAATTGCCTCCTTCACAGAAAGAAATAACCCTGATTGGACAAAAAAATATTCTAATTTGACCAAAATAAAAACAAAAGCCTGGCTGCCTACCTGCATATTTACTGAAGTGTCTACAAGAACGGGTCTTGACTGTACTTAGTAGTCATTCTAAATGCAAGTGTATTGTACTGCATAACAACTGAAGGTCATGTGGGAGGGGAAAGGGGAAATGGAGGAGCAGAGGGGAGGGAAGTATTAAGTAATCCTAGGAGAGTCACACAGTGTTTTAAGGTATTCCCTGCAGGTGTTCTGAAAAAAATACTGTGCCACATGCATGATTAATGCTTTCACTACAGGCGTTATACCACACAGAATAAATCTACAGGCAACAGGAAAGTTCACTTACATCTAGACAAAACAAATGAACCAACCGATGCTAGAATCTATCAGCATTCATGTACACAACAAAAGGTACTTTACATTCCTTAGAACTGTTACTGATAGCTAATCACAGGCCAAAGTTGTGTAAAGGATGTCTGAGCAGCAGAAAATGTTTGATAAAAACACGAAACCAGGAGAAAGTTGGCGGACGTGAAAACAATTGAATTATCACAATAAACACTTAGCACTTACCCTTGAAACAAATGAAATACTGTTCTGTGAGCAATGTTTTGTGTGTTCTCTGCACAAAGTGAATGCATAATGAAGAGGTAATCTCTGTTCATCTGTCTGTCCACCTACATATTCCATCTCTGAAAATACTTGACAGATTTCGATGACATTTATTTTGGTTCCTGATTCATCCAGCTGAAATCGAACCACTGATTTTCTCAGAAATGTTTCAGTATGCAGGACATAAGATCTACAATGTTGAGTATAAATATTTTGTTTCGTATGACGAATATTTAATAAAGTGCAAGGAAGAGTAATTTGTGACATCACAAACAATTTTCAACAGAACATTTGTACCTGCAACAGAGCGCAAATAAATCGTTGGTGTTGGTTTGTTTTTTCTCGTTGTTGAAGGAAGTAAACAGTTACTTATCTGCGCACTAAATAATTTTTACAATTTAAAAGTTTTACTGAAACGATAATGAAAGCTTGTGTGGGATTCAAAACGCATACTTCCACTGTAGATCTTGTCATATGAAATGTGACAGAATGTGACAATTAAAACTAAAACAGAGACATATTTTCATACCTGTGTTGTTATAATGCCAGTGAGAATACACTCTATGGCCACCTGTCAACAGCCAGAGATATTTGTAGAAAAAGCATTCCTTTTCTAAATTTAACATCAAGTCAGATGGCAATATCCAGAAATAAAGTTAAAGGTGTCTAAATGGAATCTTCACACTGTGAAAATACAAGATTAGAAGCAAAGAAGGTCAATTAGAAGACTGCAAATTAATACACAACTATTTTAACATCTACTACAGCCTCACTTCCAATCTTGTGAATTTTACTTTGTAGTGAACTTAAAGCAAAATGTTTACAGTAAAAATCTATGCACTATGGAGGCCTTACAAATTTATGTACCGTTATTCACACAAATATATGGGAAATTAACTTCAAATAGTATCAGAAAATGGATTATAATGATTTGAAACATGTTAAATTCTTGCAAAAAAAACTTATAAATTCTGCTTTAAAATGTGAGAAAAATTTTTTACTAGAAAGTATTAAATCATGAGAGTACTTACCTGCATAATACTTTTCACTCTTCTGCAAAACTAATTGTATGCCAGCTGTCGAGTTTCTGCAAAGCTGAACGAGGGGCACATTCCAGAACTCCGACAGCACTGTCATTTTACTGTTGTTTAAACCTAACCTTTAATTCCTATTGCTCCTGAACTATTTTAGTCTGAGACTTTCTTGATGTTAAAAAAAAATCAAAAACTCCCCCCTCCCCCACCAATGTATGGAAGTTAATTAAAACATTATTTATAATTTTAAAAGAATAATTACTAACTACTAATGAACTTGAATAATATGTAAAAAAATGAAATTAAATTTTGAAGCATAGTAATATTCTCTTCCTAACAGTTTACGTTTCCTTTAATTAAAGCAAATATTGCATTCTTCTCAAATCACATTTTACAGTGTAAAGTTCAAACTGAACATATAAGACAAATATTCTGTTCAAGTTATTAATTATTATCACAAAATTGGTACTTTCTTGATTATCAGACACTCAACAATAGTAAAAGATAAATAATACTACACTCAAACACATGTCATTCAGTTTCTACTTCACTTTACTAGTAGATTTTAAAAGTAGCAGACAATATCAACAGAGTCCTTGAAACAAGATTATCGCTTTATCAAAAAACCTTTCGTCCACAATAAATCTTAAACGTATTATTAAAGTTTTGTGGAGATCAAATTTATATGTTCAGTCAATGAGTAAGACCCTCTTCACTCTCACATCTAGCCAGAATAAACAACTTTTAAAAATATTTACACTGCTGCCAAGGTTTACGTATTCCACCATCATCCATATTTCTAAAGTAAAAGATATATTTGCAGAAACTAATCTTGTGCTGTAGAAACACAACATTAATTTACAAATGCTCCCAATCCAGTAACTCAGTGCTGATTATGTGGTATTCGGTCACGCAGGTAAGACAAGACGCCGGGGGTGCCTTTGGTTAAAATCGCGTGACGAGGCTGTCTGAAACTATTTCCAGTCAGCTCCAGGCACCTACAAAGCAGTAAACTTGTGACATTCAAAGAATAACATGACAAACTGTTGCAAACCGCGCTACACGCTAAAATTATTTTATCTATATCTACTGAATGTTTATCCAACACGGCAAAACAAATTTAAGTCTGAAATTTCTTGCTTCCAAAAATTGTAGGCCACAAAGATTCTTCGATTCATGTGGACACATATTACACATCATCTTATACTACAGCTAATAATATTCATAAATATTTTAATTTTAAACCTCATTTTAAACATGACACACTTTGACACTCGTACTACGTGCAGAGATGTATTATAAAGACAGACTGCACATTCCTCCTACCACTTTCAAAATATAAATATATTTTATTTCTACATTAATTGTTTATTTAGTAATACCATATAAACTGTAACATTACTATATAATTTGTAATGTATATGTAGTAAATAAACTTCTCTCTGCATGCTCCAGTATCAAACATGTTCTCGGGACTGAAATTATACTACAAACACGTAAATGTGATACGAAAGATTTCGTTAATGATACTCACTTTAGCTGTGTCATGTTGCCCAGCTCTGGAGGCACATGACTGATATCGTTATTGGCCAGATGCAAGGTGGCCAGCCTGCGCAGCTGCGACAATCCCGATACGTCTATCGCGGTCAAACGATTGTCACAGGCAATCAGATTTTCAAGGCTTGTTAATTTGTACACGCAGTCAGGGATTTCAGAAAATCTGGAAATCAAATAACTAGTAATTTAACGGGCGTAGTATAAATGACAATAATTGGATATTTTAGTCATCATAAACAAATAGTTCAGTCTTGTTTTATTAAATACTGTATTTACTAGAGTATAACACATACCTGTATTTTTGGATTGAAAAAATTAAAAAAGCAAGTATTTGTGAGCATGCTTCGAAATAAATAAAACATAAATGTCATGTGAATAAAGAGTGCATTAGGAAATGGTGTAAACACACAGGAAAAAAAGAAAAGCTAGAGTGAAACTAAAAGTAAGAAGGCATTTTGCAGTAAGCATGACTCGACGCTTATGTCGTGGACTTGAGGAAGTCTGCCTTCGTGGTTTATAATGAAATACTGCAGTTGTAATCTTCATCTACAATAGTGTAAAATTAAGATTCCTGCATCTGAATTCAGGACTGGTTATGGGTGGGTTTGATGGTTCTTGAACTACTGACAGCCCCTACTGCCATATGATAAATGTTAGTTAAAAAAATGACCACAGACATTCACACTCCGTGGGAAATTCAAAAGAAAACCAAGCGACTTCAGATCAACTGAAATAATGGCCGTGCCCATAACTGGTCAACAGTTACTTACTTGTTAAAGGATATTACTAGTTCTCTTAGCCTTGAAAGACTTTCAAATGACTGAGGTAAGTCTTCAAGTGAATTCTTCTGTAAGTCAAGGTACAGCAGGTTTTCACTCAATCCCAGCTCAAAAGGAAGTACAGACAGAGCATTGCAGCTAAGGTTCAACTCTGTGATGCGACTCGTGAGTCTCTTCAGCCTGCAACACAGTGACAGAATGCATCTTCTCCAGCTGACCATAATAAACGTGAAGAAATCAGGAAGGAACTTAACACGGCTACCTGATGTGATGATACAATGAACCTGAACTTCCTTGCAAGTCCAAAATCAACAAGTTTAAGTCTAATGAAGAATCAAGACAAAATTGGAATGACATGTAAAACAAGATTGCGAAGGTGTAATCCATACCAGAAAGCACACACATGTTCTCTGTAAATTACTGATTAATAACAAAATATTACGTCAGTTATCTTACTTACTCAACTTTAGTTTTGGTCTTAACGTCTTCTTTAAATAATATAAATCAATACCTATATGTTATACACTGCATTAGTTCTGCAGTAGCATGCTAGACTCGTACACGTCGTCACTGGATCAAATCCTGGTCCAGTTTCAAGGAAATCCATTCTCCCCTCCCCGGGTTATAACACGAACACAGACATGACGAACACATAAAGCAATTTTAATAGGCACTCAG